TTTAATAACCGACATGATTTATTACTATTAAATTTGTCCAATTATAGAAAACGTAAGAGAAATTCGCATCAATACTTTTCCTGAATTTAATATGATTTTAATAAACCCGCACATCATAAGAAGCGACATTAAAAATGTGCGTAGCGAGTATCTAGAGCGTTTAAATTCGACGAAATTTCCTAGTTCGCCGTCTCCTCACGATAAAATCGCGATTCCAATCTCTTGGATTAGGCATCGTCATCGCAAGTGGCATTCGATTGTGCCATTTCGATGACTCTTGGCAACGATTCACACGAAAATCGGCTTACACGAGGAACGGGGACATTGAACCTTACACAAGTGCCATCTACATTCGTTTTCAGTTACCGGTGAAAATGGAGAACGTCAGCAACGTTTTCATCATTTTGTATGATCGAGTGCATCGGAAACAGATAATTCTACCTTTCAATTCCTTTCGTACTTTTCATACACCGACGAAAGTGAGGTTAACTTCGAGTGTTCGTCCGCGGACGACATTTTATTGGTCAGCGAGAAAATGGCGGCAGGACGAAACATGAAACGTGCAACCTTTTTAGCTCGCGTAAATAATATCCTTAACATCGATTATGTTTTCCATATGTGTAATTATAATCAACTACCTAACTCACAATTAGTAACTAATAAGTTAAAAGAAAAATTGTATTTGTTAACAAATATTGTGATTCAAAGAGACAACTTGAATTTTTCGAAATTTGATCTTCTAGAAGAAAAAAAAATTCCTTTTATATTATATACATAAAATTAAGATTTTAAGTAGATTTTTAATTTTTTGAGATAAACGTCAAGTTAGTTTTTCGAGAATTTCATTAATTTGTCTAAACTTAATTTTAATAACAGACCAATTTATTTATTTATCTAGTTTCTAAGCATATTATTGAAAAACGAGTTCTTCCATTCGTTAGATGATTTTTCCGTGTATATGTATAGAAAAATAACTATTCCAAAGATTCTTGTATTATCTTGTGATATTTTCCACTGTTGTATTTTTCATATAATGAGTTTCCCAAAATTCAAGCCAGAAGTAATTTTGATAGAAAGCACAGGCTTTTAATTAAAAATTATAAATATTGCTCAACAATGAAATCGCATTGTTCTTTCCCACAGTGCTTCATTTTTAATAAACCTGAAGTATCAATTGTCACACTGTCTTTGTTTTTCGTTGGCAAAACTTTATTCAAATCTTGCGTGAATTTTAGGACACTCCTTATTTCTTAAATCTTTTATTAAATACATATAAAGATTATAAAGAAATTTTACATTTGACATTAAAACAGTGACTCTCGTTACAATTCTTGTGAAAATTTAAAAACCAAAATTACGATTATTTATAGTTAAACGAAGGATTATCTGGGATACAAATAAAGATCAATCATGTCACTGGAGGTCGAATAGTATACTGAAAAATCCGAATAGCAGAGCTGTAGGATATTGCTGTACTTGAACAGCAGGTATACATAAGCCTGTATAAACGAACGGGAATAGGAACGGAAGATAGACTGAAGAGCTGTTGAAAGACAAGGCATATGTGTGCAAGGATGTACATAACGTGATAGATAGAAGATTTCGAGATTGCTGGCAAACAGTCTCGCGATTGGAGAGGTCTTGTCTGCCCTGTGTTGTCTTCTAAACATATTTCAGTGATTTCTGACTTCAATTCCTCCTAGTTATAACATTTTATCATAATATCTCACATTTTATCAACCTTGTATAATACAGTAATTTAGATTTTTATTTATAGTAACTCTTACAATAATTCTTTTTACACTCGTGACACTCTGACAATTCTTAATGAACCATTTGGCGATCTTTCAAATTCACCAAAAACTCTACTTATCATATCATTCCATTCCCAGTACTCATCTGTTATCCATTCCTCTGTCATTTGTTTAATGCTCCAATATTGTACTGTATATTTAGGTCCAAACTCAATTAAATTATTTTTTCAACCTAGTCTTTGATATCATCAATAACTTTTCCAATTTCAGCTAGTCTCTGTCAAGTCTTTGCCCCCTTTGACCTTTATGAAAACTATAATTCTAGTAATACATATGACCAAACTTAGACAGCTAAATTTTCTATGTGATTAAGAGATTTCCTAATTAGTTCTAGTACCTAAAATTATTTATGTCTTGTACGACCTCAGTCAGAAATATAATTCGATTCTAGCAGCTTATACATAGGTCCTAGTTTAGTCAATATATGGCTACTATATGGCCAAGAGTTTCTTTTCTTTTTTCACATTTGGCCTCTTCCCTGTCAGCCCGTATCTTTTCCTTTGCATCTGAATAAAAACTAAAATCCCGACAGCCTACACATAAGCTGAAGCTCAGTCAGTCTAATCTCCTGTGTCATCAAGACTCATCCCAAATAATCTAGCCTCTATCAAACCGGCCTCTTTCCTTTACGACCCCAGTTAAAACTACAATCCTAACAGCCTACACACATTCCCAAGCTCAACCAACCCAACATCCTAAACCCAGTCCTCTATACCAAGAGACTATATCAAGAATCCTCTCAATTAGGCCTAGCTGCTGTCAGTTCCTACCATTTCCTTTACAGCCTCCATGACAGCCATACTCTCAACACCCTACACATAGAGCCAAACCCAGTCACGCCAATCTTCTACATCCCCAACAATCTCCTCAATTAACCCTAGTTCCTGTCAGTCAACACCACTTCCTGTACAATCTCTATGACAACCACATCCTCAACAACCTACGCATAGGCTCAAACCCAATTACCCTAAGCTTCCACATCAGTGGTGTCAAACATGAGACCCGCAAGGTCTCAGAATGCTACTGCGAGCTAGAGATCGAAATAGATTTTACTAAAATAATAGAACAGAATGCAGTATCGTAGGCTTAAGGACCCTAAACACGGAAAGGGGGTATAAGAGAGAAAGCGAGTGAAAGTGCGTGAACAAGAGGAAACCCAGTCTCATCAGGAAAACGTTTTACATCGAATAGTTCATCGATAGGGTAGTTTTTAAGGATAATTAGGGGAAACGAAAAATGATCCTTTGCAGAGAATAATGTTGCGTGAAGCTTGCCGGCGAGGGGTCGAAAGAAGTCGCAAGGAAAGTTGTTCAGACTTGTTTTCTGTTGTCTTTTGCCTATATATCACTGTTTAACCAACCACATTCTTTGTTCAACCTTATTTAATCTGTATACAGTGGCTCACGAAAGTATTCGAACGCTATACCAATTATGAAAGAGCACTCTAACTCAAATTTTAACTCTAAGTCTAATTTTAATGAAATTTTGTGTGCAGGTAAAGCATAACAAGTTACACATGGTTCAATTTTCTTTATTTCTAGATATTACTTCACGTGAGTGAAATCGTCACTCAAATCTACAATCCAACCTCTGTCTCTTTAAACCTAATTATGCAATGATGCGAGATAAAGTGAAGCTTTTTGAATAAAAATTGTTTCATTTTTAGTACTCTGTCAGCTTATAATAAAAATTTCTTGAAATTTCTACTATATATTTCTGTGAAATCTCGTTTGAGGAACAAGAAAATTGTTAAAATTTTAATTCCTTATTTTACCCGAATCAATGATATTTGCAGTCGATAAATAAATTACTCGGTGTATTACTCATTACGCTTTACGTACACGCAAACCTCTTTTAACAACACTAGATTTACGGAACACGTCAATTTGACGGAAGGGATGCTCCAATTATACGATAGTAACAGATTTAGTTAACTTATATCAAGACTGTTAATATGATATATAACTGTTTTTAAATTAAACTAATCGTGGTTTCCTTTACCTGTCAATTTGACAGGTGTCCTTAGAAATAGGTATATAGATAACGTCCATAAAGCTAGTGTTAAAATCGGAATTTTTAGATTAGAGAATTCTTTTAAAATACAGCGTCGTGAAAACACACTTTCGTGAGTTACTGTATAAAAATACTACAAGAATTTTAAAAAAAGAAGCCATTTTGTCTACAACGTACACCTTCTCTAAAATTAAGCTTCGTGGTCCAACTGTCATACATCATTAGGCCTAGTCAACCTATGACAACCATACTTGAAACAATAATCTACGCATAGACCCAAATCATGCTAATCTCCTAACATCCCCAACGATTTCCTCGATTAACCGTTTGAGCGCCAGAGTGTTTTGAAAAAACACTGTTGAAGGATCCCAAGCAGCGCCATTGCGCTGTCTCTAAGTTGGTACGAGAAAACCTAAGCATCGCGATAACGCTTCTTCTATTTTATGTCGAGAAATCCCAAGCGGCGCGATAGCACTTCGGTTATATTATGGCGATGAATGGCCAAATGGCGCAATAGCGCTTCAACTTCAACAGTCGGTGACGCACCGTCAGCTGTCGAGAACACTCGAACTATTTTGGGTTTTCTCGACATGAAATCTGAACAGCGCGATCGCGCTGCTTGGGACTCGGTTAACCGTTTGGGACCTAGAGACTTTTGGAAGAAGACGGTCGAATAACCCCAAACAGCGCGATAACGCTTGCCTTAATCGAGTGCGAAGAAATCCAAACGGCGCGATAGCGCTTGTTTAACTCCTTGGCTACTGTGACGCATATACGCGCTCAGAAATGTTGCTTTTGTGACACGGAAGGCGCATATAAGCGCTCAACACAGTTTGCTTTTGTGACACGGAGGGCGCATCTCTACCCAAAATTTCGCCGTCCTCGGCGGACATTGTAAATGAATTCCTACCCATGTGGTACGACCGGTACGTTTCAAAGTCTGCCGTAGTCAAAGGGTTAATTTTACGTCGAAAAATCCTAATCGTCGCGATAGCGCTTGTTGGTGCTGTGTGACGTACGTGCTTCAGCAAAGTTGAGCGCGCCACTTCGACTGAAGAGCGCGATCGCGCTGCTTGGGACACGAACGATTAAATCTAGCCTCCATTCTCACCATCAACCTCTCTTCGAACTGCGATAGTATGCTATTTTCAATCGCACTATCTTTGATTGCAGGCCGCGTGGGTTTCTCTGAGTCGGGACCGGCGATAGCAGAGCCGCGATCAAAATGAGTATTCTGAACACGGATTCGGAGAACCGCGTGGTCCTGAATGTGGGCGGTATCCGGCACGAGACGTACAAGACGACCCTGAAGAAGATCCCCGCGACGAGGCTGTCGAAGTTGACCGAGGCCCTCGGCAACTACGACCCCATACTAAACGAGTACTTCTTCGACAGGCATCCGGGGGTCTTCGCCCAAGTGCTCAACTACTATCGCACCGGGAAGCTCCACTATCCGACCGACGTCTGTGGCCCGTTGTTCGAGGAGGAGCTCGACTTTTGGGGTCTCGACTCCAATCAGGTGGAACCATGTTGCTGGATGACGTACACACAGGTACATAAGCATCGGCAGGATCTATCCGCTTCTTTTTTCAGTTTCCTTTGTTGCGTTCACTTAGTTATTCGTAGATGCGGTTTCACTGTTTGCGGATGCGGATTAGGGGTCCGGATTGACTGGGGGTTTATGAGAAACACGGTTTGGGTTAGCTTTTCCTTACGTGCGATACGATGTATCGTGATTGTTGACCGAAATTGCGAATTTGGTTAGCCGGAAAGTTTAACTTCCGATTAAAGTTGCAGAGTTTTAAGCTAATCTAAGTTTGCGTGGCCTGGTTTGTTAGGGTTGAGTTATTTTCATAAGAAAATCGACTGATTGGAGATACAGCATGGAACTTTCTTTGTATTTCCTGTATAGTATGTTTTAGTTTATAATATATTTGTCTTTGTTCACTCGTGTTTGATATCGCTTCAGTTTTTCGTAAAGGATGTATGCATTTTGTTACATTCGAAGAATTTATTTTTCTCAAATAACTAAGGTTTTAATAGAAAAATATGAGATAAAAATTTAAGTCCAATTTAATGTGCAAATTATAAAGAACAGGACAAAACACTGTATAATTGTTATTATCACCTATATTCTTAATTGCGTTTATAAATAAAATGAGAAACTAAATATTTAATAAATATTAATATTAATACTTTTCTTTGCTGAGAAGGGAAGACAGAGTAAATGCTATTTTTTAAAAATAATTCTTAACGAAAGTTAAGATTTGGAAATTTTTGTTTATTATTTATCCTTTAAGGTACATAAATTAAAATTAAAAATATTAAGAACAAAACTTATTGTTTATAAACATATTAGATGTTATATCTTCATCCTATTTTAAATTTGGACCCTCTGTTTTTATTTTGATTAATACAAATTTTTAATCAATTTTTAATTTTAATACACGTATCTCAGAAGACAAGGACTATACAAAAATTCGCAAACGATTATTTTGTTACCGTATAAATAACAAACAAGAATGTACATCTGTTTAACTGTCGTGTTTCATAACAAATTAAAATGCAATAAAATATTTAGAAAACATCAATTTACAGAATTTAATCTGCATCCGCAAATCACTTTAATAAATACTGCATTGTTCCACGATATAATGGGAATGTGTTTGTTACGTCTGTTTATAATACTATTTTATATTCAATCTAGATCAATAATCGCGAACACGAAGCATTGCACTACAGTGTGAACCCAAATATCGCCGATTTCATTTAACCGTTAACAAAGCCCCCGTTTCTTGATTAATAATGTACATACGCCGGTAAACAAGTCACCGATCATATAATGCAAATTGTATAATATAATCAGCACTCCCACCACCTCTTCCCTTATCACATTGTCATTCGTTCGATTCAGGATCATCGACATATGTAGATCACGTGACGTCCATTATCCGACCCAAAATATTTCTCCATTCATAAAATCGATTCTGATACTATGACTTCAAAGAACACGTATACAAATTACCCTGTTTCATAATTATGGTTCCTGTTCAATTTATAAAAGCAACGAAATATTCGAAATAATTTCTGCTCTTTAAAAAACGGGAAAGAAAAATGTTTTTGGGATGAAAGCTGGTTGTCGAATTTATAAATTTCTTTTCTGATTGTCTGTTTTAACCAGTTACGCTCGAAGATTTTTTGGCTAGAGAAGAGTAGAAATTCAAAGATTCTCTACTAAAAAAATGACGATACTCTTTTCAGCAGTAAATAAAGAATTGTATAATAATAGAATTGTAGAATTATTTGATTTCGATACCTCGCACACTGTTACATTACATTAAATTTGATATATTAATTAATATCGATCTTCCAAATTTTATGAAATGGTGACTGAAGTTCACCTCTCGAGTTCAAAAGGTTAAAATTTCTCGAATATTGATAGAAATTATTTTAATTCCAAGATGAAATCAATCAAACTCTGCCTTCACGGATAATTTATGATCAGACATCGATTTACTGTGCGTTCTTTAAGAACTCGTATTCTCGTGTAAAATTTTTATACTCTTTTCGGAATTTTTTTGTAACAAGTAACGAAAATTTTAACTAATTTTAACACGATTTGTATTCTTTTTCTTTTTGTTCGTTTTTTGAGTTGTAATTGAGAGTATTAACAAGTGAATAGATTAAGAATAATTTATAATGTTTGATTTTATTAGAAATTAACAATCTAAATACATAAATTTCGCGGTAGATAAAGAATGGTTCTAAAAAGAGCTAATGATCGTTGGCATTATTATTTCTACAATAGTCGCGCTATATATATATTCAAATATGTACACGTGTGTCCCTTTTTACATGGTGGATGCGTGTCATGCAAGATAAAATCGTGTCAAAAAATCCTATAAAAATTGACCTGTAACAAAGACTAAAACTCGTATTAAAGCAACGCAAATTGTACAAAAAGTACTTACTGTACATGTTTCAGGAGAATTAGAAATTAAACACAGTTTCAGTGTATAAAATACTATCCATAAAAATACAGATTTAAAATATTCGCACAGAAGTTTGTGATCTTAGTGGAATTTTCTGTAAATTGTAAAGATAACATTAAAAAATTTAAACCTAAGAAAAATATAAGAAGAAAAGGAGAAATGTAAATGTGAACAGGACGTGTTAAAAGAGAAACCGAGTAAACGCGAATAAAAAGTGTAAATGTGAATAAGGCGCGTTCAAAGATTGCTTAAATGTGGGTAAAAAGTGTTTAAGAAAAACCGTATAAATGTGAACGAAATGGGGTCCAAGCGATCGTGTAATTGTGAATGAAGTGTTGAAGAAAAAGAACAGGAAATGTGTTTAAAAGAAATTTAAAAAAGGTAAACGTGTTTAAAAAAATCGTGTAAAAGGACCACGTAAAAAGGACACGAGTGTACATTACTCTCTCATTTGGCACAGTTACATGCTATTCTTTTATACCTTTCCCGTTCGATAGGGTTAAATTTTTTGTTAGAGTTTCCCCGTTTGCTCCTTCTGACTTTTAAATTGCACAGTACACGCACAATTATCGATTCGCGGGAAGTAGAACATCGTACAGAAGGCAGGCGAATTGATGTATAGCTCTTCGTCGAACACACGCACAGGATAAAACTGGGGAAAGATGGAGGAATATGAAGGGGTAGAACCGTGTTGGTTTAAGGGTTGTCGAGTTCGTGTGGACGTTAACTGGTGGTAATGGCGAAACACAATGAGAATGTATGATTTTCACCGAGATTTATTTAATTTATTCTGTATCAGATAATTGGATTAAACGAATTTTTTGAAAAATATTATCGAAACATTTGGAAATTTTTAGATCTTTTTGGAAATATTAATTATCTTTTATTTTAGTAAAACATCTATAAAATGTTGCAATAAAATTAAGGGATGAAGTACAATAGTTTCAGGAAGTCTGGAAATGCTTATTTTGCAAATAAAAAGGCTCAAATTTTCATTTGAGATATTTTTGTCGAATGGGAAAATTGGGATATGTTTTATTTCCAATTTATACTGATTTGGAAATTTTTGGATCTTTTTGGAAATCTTGATTATCTTTTATTTTGGTAGAACATCTATAAAATGGTGGAAGAAAATTAAGGGATGAAGTACAATAGTTTCAGGAAGTCTGGAAATGCTTATTTTGCAAATAGCAAGACTGAAGTTTTAATTTGAGATATTTTTGTCGAATGGGAAAATTGGAGTGTGAAATTAAACTGACAACAAAATACCGTAAAGTGAAGCTAATTAATTGCCACTAATTCTAGGAAAGGTAGAAAATAAAAAATAAATAAAAATAGGAAAATAGAATACTGAAATAATTAAAATGACATTTAATATAAATAAGAAAACTAATATTCCTATTTAATTTCACATTTTGCTAAAAATAGAATTCTAAACTTGTTTTTGGAAATTCGAGGGATATTTATCCTCGCGCTATTTTTCCTCGAATTCACTGAAACATTTTCGAGATGTTAAATTCGAAACGATTAAAATAGCTTTCAATTAAAATAAATATAGCATTCATAGAATTCAGTAGAAATAAATAAATGAATATCCACGTTTAATTCCACATTTCAATCAAAACAAAATTCCAAAGTTGTTTTTAGAATTTAAACAATATTTTCCTTTAGAAAATAAAATTGTTAAACACGATAAACGTAAAATTTAACTAACAAACATAATTCAAGTGACAAACGTCAATATGATTTACTAATTTCTCTTGATTTCGTACTTCGAGCTCGATACTTTTTCAGAAACTACCTCGTTATTGTCCTCCAATTAATTATTGAAAATTAATTCCACTGCCCAGGCAACTTTATCCATCGAATTAGCGATATGAAACGAGCTGATCAAATAAATTGCATTTTGTTTCCTTCGTCTCACAATTAAGATGTGACAATGTTATGAAATCGATAGGAACAACGCGATTAATTGGCATGCGTAACGACTGCAGAACGAAATTGAATTTATCGGATCGCTTTAATTCGTCGAGATATTCTTTCCTACTAATATCAAAATTTTATTTCCTCCTTGTGAAATAATCAAGAAAAATATCGAAGTTCATAAATATGCATCCAATTTCTCATTCACATATAAAAACAGAATAAAAAATACAGATATAGGGACAAAATGTAAATTTATTTATCCCAAGTCGATAAAATAAATAATCTTAAATTTTTAAAAATAATATTTCCAATATTTATCTATGTTTCAATTAATGGCTTTCATCAATGTAGCTACTGCGTGTATTTTTTCATTATAAAAATGAAGAGGAATTTAGTAACCAAAAATAAAATAACGTAATAATAAAATGAAACGTGATTAATTTAAAATGTACATACATATCTCGCTATTATTTTTCTCTGTTTTATGTGTCCTGCTATTACCTATATCGATATATCAATGACAAAGGTACAACGAATTTGTAAAATGTTTTGCTTGAATTTGAGGCAAGAATGAAGTGCAGTAGAATAATTTATATATTCAATGTCATAAATGATTTATAGGAATTTATTCATT